GCCCTCCAGGACCGAGTTTGGGCACCCCTGCTCTACATCATGCCAGACGACACGTCCCCTTTACCTCGAAGCCATTGACTTTGTAATGATGACAGGCACAACAACCAAGATAAACACACCACCAAGACCCTGCTCTGATAGTATGAAGAAGTGTAAGGAGGTGGTCAACATGTCTGAACAAACCAGAAGCACTTGAGCAAAGTGTTTCAATAAGTGAAGGCTTCACTTAGCATAACCTGATCACCATTTGGGCTCCATGGGAATGACAGGCAGTGATTGGCATCACCCCTGTGGTGCAGACGTTGCTGTTTTAACACTGGATAAGGACAGAGGAGAGGAGCCTTTGTGCTCTTATCTGTGCATACTGCATGTGGAGTCGCCACCTCAGTTTGGGATCAGTCTAGCTGTGTCTCTTAGCTCCTTCTGAGAGCAGACCAGAACAACCCCACACGTTCACATCAGTAACATGTTCACTGCATGGCTCACGCCTGGGCATGCATAGGTCTGAACTGTTTTATACTGCCGCTGACCCTGGAAACAGCATGGTAAGGACTTGAAGAGACCCTAAACACTGATGGTCTGTAAACACTTAGAGGAGCAACTCATTAGTACTTGCGTTTAAAAGCATATAAGAAAAGCTTATAAAAGGCTAGCTGTCTCGCTTTTTACTCCAGTGCATATTTATCCCATCTTCACTAAGCTTTACTTATAGAGCATTTAAAAAAAGCTACAAATTATTCACAAATTGACATTGTATTATCCATATAATTTGTACAAATAAATGTGGAATAATTAAGATTTTTAAAAATGTTTTTAAAGAGTCTCTTATGCTCACCAAGGCATAAGAGACAAAAATACAGTACAAGTACAATACAGTAAAATTAGTAATATTGTAAAATATTTTTACAATTTAAAATAGCTGTTTTTTTATTTTATTATATTTTAAAATGTAACCTATTGTTGTGATGTATATAAAATAGTACTGAAAATAAAAATTGTCAAATATATATATATATTTAAAAAAATTTTGTTGTGATATTTCAATGTTCTTAATTTCCATTCCCACACACAGTCTACACACACCTATATACTCTGTCCATTAAAATAAATTGAGTTAGCCAGGGGAAAATCATTATTATAATGATTGTTATGTAAGAGACTACCAAAAACGAACTGATCCCATTTCAATGTAATTGCCAGACAGAGAGTAAAGTGTTAGCAGCACTGCCAGGTGTGAAGTGTGATAATTATATGTTAGCAAACTGAAGGAACTGGCCCAGGACCAAAGCTCCTTGTACAGGCTTTCAAATGACATTTCAGCATACTCCTTTGGTGGCCTGGAAAGAGCTAGCCACCAAATCAACACACAGAATTTATTTCTAAAATTGAGACACAAAATATGGTAGTCTCCCATTTCTTTGAAAACTATGTGTTATTTGACTGTTTTGTTTGATACAAATTAGCACTAGAAAATCTTGAATTTTCTAAATAGCATCATTTAGCCTGTGACGAAAGGATATGTCATAATTCAGTGATATGTCGGTGTGGAATTTCCCTGTAAAACCCAGGGGCCGTCTGTAAATGAAACTGGCACTGAACTAGTTGTTCAGCTTTCACCTAGTTTCAATCCTCCATCATTCAACTCATGGCAACTGTTTACATTAACAAAATTACTTTAAATTCTCCTCACTTCACTCCGTCTCTTTTAGATTGCCATGTATGATAAAGGGATTAAAGATTATGATTTGTTCTGATTAATATGATGGACAGGACATAGCTGTCTGGGACACATTTAGCCTCTGAGTTTGTTGTAAAGGTTTAATGGGACGTCTATGAGTCTCTTTGAACTTAATGAGCCCCATCAGTCTAAATTTGATGGATGACAGCTACTGTTCTTCAGTAAGTGCTTGCAGTGGTTCTCTTGTATTTCAGTCATTATGTTAAGATAATATAAAATGATCAGTTTTTTTTTTTGAGAAACAAAAACATGGTCTTTTGAGTAAAGATTGCCAGTTGTACAATTTCAAGTAAAATTTCTTTGAATTTTTGTCTTGTTTTCCAGTAAAAACATCTAAGCACTGACAAGATGAATGTACTTGTTTTCATAGAATATATCTTGAATTACATTTATTTCTTTTACCCATTGGAAATTATATATTTTTTTATCTTGTTTTAAAAGTTATATGCTTAAAAAACAGTGGTAACTTGACATGGCATTTTTCTATCAATTTTTAAATGAATACATTTATTTTTAAATCATTATAATAATGTATTAAATATATATATATATATATATATTACTATTTTGTTATATTTTGTCTGTTGTGTAGTTGTATAGAATTTTCCATTTGTAAGTTCAGAATTTTCAACCACTTCCAGCATTCCAGGGAAACAAGTGGAAAAATGGACTGATGATAGCATTGATCCGGTTCCTCCTCGATATCTCACACCACCTACTCTGGACATAAGCCCAAACAGGCCCAACTCCCAAATGATACTTTGCAAACACAACCTGGACTCTCTGAAGAAATCTAATCCCTCTTTTGTCGCCAAGTAGTAAGTGGTAGTTGAAGACAGATCTGACATTTAGCTGGCTCATCACCTTGTGAAGGAGGGACCGCCTGTTCTGATTTCTGCTTTTTTTTAAGACAGATGAGGCCAAAACTGAAATAGTATTTTCTTGTAAAACATACTCAAATAATCTTTAAATGTCTGAGAAATACACAAGATACACTGAAAAAAATAGTGTAGGAATTATTTTCACAAAGAAATTACAATAGTAAATTTCACGAATAATTACAAGGAAACAAGTAGCATTGAATTAAACCTGAAATTTTGAAATAGAACAACATTTAATATTGATATAATAGTATTTTTTTGTAAAACATACATCTTTGTCTCACTAGTTTGAAAAATATTTTTTACAGGATAGCTAGATAGACAGACAGACAGACTTTGGCTTGCTTTGCATATCCCTTAAAGTTGTTCCATGCTAACAGAAATGAGACAATCAATATTTCTCTTCAGGCAGAACATTTTATGGAAATTCAACTCTTCAATCGCTCCTGCTCTTAGCAGATTTAAGAATAATTTGACTCAATCTATTTAAGTGATTTTCAAATTATTTACAATTTCAAGCTATTATTTAATGTGTTACTCTTTAAACATTTTATTAAGTCTACTTTACATGCATCAAGACACTTAGTATTAGGAATCGATTAGGGTTTGTGGAAATAACTCAAAATAAATCCTGAGTGATTAGATCTGATGTTGTTTATTCTAAAATGTCTAACACACCATTTGGGAACAAACTCAAGGTGAAGTCAATAGCACCAATGCTTACAGTCTGTCTTATGACCTTATATCAACCAGTCTAGCCCACCAGGAACACCCAATTTCATTACAAAGACTAAAGACAAAGACTGGGACTCTCAGGGTTGTATTCGGATGGGTACATGGTCTCATTTTGGCACCCTAAATCCTTTACACAGTCCTATTAACAGAG